CGGTGGTGATGAGGACATTGGAAAAGAMACTATTAAGGAAACTAGAACCTAAAATCACAAACATTCTTCAAGGTGAAGACGAGAATGGGGAAGTGGGGTGAAACGGGGGGTTGTTGAAGGGGAGGGGGGAGGGTATCAAAACCATTAAAGGTGTACYCCATTCGGAGAAAGACAAAATAACGATCCCTAAGCTCACTGATCAAATATATCTCATTTGACCCATGAATTAGCAAAAGAACAGATGTACATTTATGCTCTRAACCTACAATCATAATCAAACAAAAAAGTCCCCACTTACCCAATCTTTTGGATCTTTTCTAATACGCTATATATAACGTCTCGTATCCGGGTCATTGAATCTGAGTGCAACGTTAACTTCATCGGAATAGGTTATTATTCCCATACGACTTCCAASTGGAGAAACATTTAGGTAAAKTGCCAARGTAGTGATAATACGTTTCGCTTCATCAAAATTTGTTTCCCTAACTCTTTTCGATCCATCAARCAGGATCCCAACATCAAATTTCTTTCTGCAACCTGCCATTGGAATTTCAGTGACTTAGTACGCATCGTATCTTGTAATCGAAAAGTAATTTCTAAGTGTTGTTTATAGAACGAAAGTGCGTGTTTTATCTGGAAATATAGATTCGAGACACACTAGAGCTTCAACATCCAGAAATTGAGAATGGGAATGTGCATTGTGCCGCAATTGAAAGAATGTTGATCCAACACAAAAGAACTGCTGGACAGGTATATTTCAAATCTGCACATTGACTCAAACTGATTTAAACCTAGGAAAGTTCTATGATGCGAGGTTAAAACTGAGACCTTTGCTAGTATTGGGTTGCGATAATCTGATATGCCAGACCAATTGAATTTGATTCATGAAAACTTACCGGCCTCAGTAAAGGAAACTGCAACAAGGGCAATAGTGACAAAAAGCAAGGCATTCGTCTTCATTATTACACGTGTCTRATGTCTCTAAAGAATAAGTAAACTCGTTAAAATAAAGCGATCAACTTTACACAATTCATTATAATATATTTGAAAGTGCACTTACACATTGAAAAAATGTAATGGGTTTCAAGGTTTACAACATAAAAACTTAGACCCAAAAGGATTATGGGATCAAAGCAAATATATTAAGAGCATGCCATGCAACGAAAAGACTGCATGCATTAAATAGAATTATCTAAATGACATACTATGTCAATTGAAAAAGTAAAAAAGTAAATCTCGACTATTTGATCTATATAAGCTTCAAAATTTCTAAATATTTCATATTTCGGTGCATATCGTCCTTCTCGTTGCCTACGTTCGTCGTCTCAACTGTTACTTTCTTCCAAGTCATACAATCTCAAATGTTATGGTATTCGTTCTTATAGTGTTGGTGGTCCTTTACTATGGGAATTCACTCCCATCCTCAGTCAGAGACATTTTTTTCAGTTGAYAATTTTAAAGCTGCTCCTAACCCTATTCAGGCTKGGGGGGAGGGGCTGGCCTCGCGTAAAAAGCCAATAACTTTCGAASCAAGACAGCTAAAGCTCTGAAACTTTCGGACTTTTCCTAACATTTATCTGGGCAGATTTTGATGTAATTTGTTTGTTGATAACGTCATCCATGTCGCCATGGCAACCAGTTTTGACACATAGATTTTATGCTTAAGCTTATTTCTTGGTTTATTATGCATCTTTTACNTTGATCCAACACAAAAGAACTGCTGGACAGGTATATTTCAAATCTGCACATTGACTCAAACTGATTTAAACCTAGGAAAGTTCTATGATGCGAGGTTAAAACTGAGACCTTTGCTAGTATTGGGTTGCGATAATCTGACATGCCATACAAGTTGAATTTGATTCATGCAAACTTACCGGCCTCAGTAAAGGAAACTGCAACAAGGGCAATAGTGACAAAAARCAAGGCATTCGTCTTCATTATTACACGTGTCTAATGTCTCTAAAGAATAAGTAAACTCGTTAAAATAAAGCGATCAACTTTACACAATTCATTATAATATATTTGAAAGTGCACTTACACATTGAAAAAATGTAATGGGTTTCAAGGTTTACAACATAAAAACTTAGACCCAAAAGGATTATGGGATCAAAGCAAATATATTAAGAGCATGCCATGCAACGAAAAGACTGCATGCATTAAATAGAATTATCTAAATGACATACTATGTCAATTGAAAAAGTAAAAAAGTAAATCTCGACTATTTGATCTATATAAGCTTCAAAATTTCTAAATATTTCATATTTCGGTGCATATCGTCCTTCTCGTTGCCTACGTTCGTCGTCTCAACTGTTACTTTCTTCCAAGTCATACAATCTCAAATGTTATGGTATTCGTTCTTATAGTGTTGGTGGTCCTTTACTATGGGAATTCACTCCCATCCTCAGTCAGAGACATTTTTTTCAGTTGAYAATTTTAAAGCTGCTCCTAACCCTATTCAGGCTKGGGGGGAGGGGCTGGCCTCGCGTAAAAAGCCAATAACTTTCGAASCAAGACAGCTAAAGCTCTGAAACTTTCGGACTTTTCCTAACATTTATCTGGGCAGATTTTGATGTAATTTGTTTGTTGATAACGTCATCCATGTCGCCATGGCAACCAGTTTTGACACATAGATTTTATGCTTAAGCTTATTTCTTGGTTTATTATGCATCTTTTACMTATTTGAGCTTGCTCCCATTGCTGACTTTACAATACCATARTACTTTTTCGACAACAAAAATGTTTGGGGAAGGGATGGTTAGTTTTTAGTCATTTTTTCACATGGAAGAAAATTTCATTAAAATCATCAGTAGTTTTTTAATGGCATTTTAGAAAATTAAAGATGGCGGTCCAAGATGGTGGTTCTTAAAATGGCGGATATTCTTCTCAAAATTGCTAGTTCCAAATTGTTTAGCTTCAAAAACYCCTCAAATTGTAAATTTTACCATAAAATAACGATATCGACAAAAAAGTGAGATTTGGAGTCAAATTATTCAAAGACGACAAAGACACTATAGGAAATGATGTCATCACAATTATGACGTCACAACTGTTACCATGGATACAAAACGAACCACARCATCAAAGAAGAGCAGCCTAAATATGATATTTAACTGATTATCTAGATATAGATATATAATTGATAAAAATTACCTGATATCTATGACGTCATTGTGACGTCATTGTGACGTCATTGTCATATAGAACAGGGCTCAATTAAAAAATACAAAAATTATTTTAAGTTATTTTCAAGTCATTTCAATAATAAACAGATGATATTGCAGCATTCTCTATGGAATTGTAGGGAATTTATTAAAATGAATTGTTAAAAATGACGTCATTATGACGTCACATTTGGTTCCCATGGGTCAAGACTAAGTGTGGCTGTTTGTTTTACGTGGGCAACCATTGTGTGAAAATTTCATGCTCATAGACCTATTGGTTCCGAAGATATTGAGGGGTGGGGGGCGAATGAGCCTCCCCCCTCCCCCCCAGTCACTGATTGAACAAAAAAGCCCAGTCTGAGTAGGGTTAAACTGACCTTCTTAATAGTTTATTTAAATAAACTTATGATCCGTAACTCTATTTTAAATTTCTTTATCTTAATTTAGTACCTTTCTATTTGCGCTTAGAAATGAGTTAATAGTTATTATTATTGGTTGAAGGACCTTAGATTATTGCACACTAAAAGTAGTTTGGTAAGGATGAAAAATGAATGCATTAAGATGTACCACTTTATTTAGGCACCATGATTGCGGGAGGTAAATCAAAGTCTATAAAAGTGTGTAAGCACATCCTGAAAACACTTGACAATCGCCCATTGATAATTCAGTCTATTCAAATGTCAGATTGYCTTGATATATCTAATTGAATGAACGTTCTCTGCTCGCAAAAGRTGACGTAGTGTCTAACTATAACGGGTGGCTCAGCAAACAAGCCGATTGAACTGGAATGTGCATTGACTTTATTTATCTGCTATCTTGCTTCCTACACAGTGTGACACGGAGAGAGTTGGACTCAAGTAAATAATGCTTTTGGCATGTTGACCCCGACGGATTGGACACGTTCAAATAACTCAAGAGCAGTCACCTATGTACATTAAAAAAATAATGTATAATTTCAGAAATAATTATATAAAACACCTTAAGGATACGTCAAAAAAGAGCAAAATCAGCCTAAACCTGTATACGCTTTCCAAATCTTCGCACATAAGATTGCATGGAAACMGTAGCACGCACTGTATTGACAAATCTGCAGCTGAGGGGTATCTTGACAACCAYAAACCGCCGCAAAAATTCCTACAGAGTTCCTGCTACTACTAGATGCATTATAAACTATATTTTTACAGMACAGTTCTAACTTTCGTTAAATTTATCAATATCATCAAGTGTGTTATTATTAATCATATTCTTCTTCTTTTAAGCGTTTTTTTTTGCTATAATTTATCCATCTTAATAACTTATTCATAAACAGTCTAGTGATTTTGAAGATGCACAATAAGAATCACACCCAATCAGGCAGTTAAGCATCGAAAGATCTGARATACTTTGCATAATCTGTTATATGTTTAAAATAATAAAAATTAGCGGAAACATTGTGTGAGYTGCGCCGGTGTTTCTAAATAAACAGCTATGAAATAAGATAAATATGAAAAAGATAAGTTTTGTACAGTAAAAAATACGGGAAATAACTTGCTGAATTGTTTGCTGATGTTTGTCCCTCGTTAATTTATGAATTGCTCATGCTGTACCCGTCATGTGTKTTCTCAAATGATTTTTATCTCGTTCAACAAAGATCTCTRAATAGCCRGTTCTGGCAAATTGCACATGCCTTTTTATGGCAAGTGAAAAGAAGATCAAGACAGAAACYTATTGCAAAGTTAATGTMGTARAAARAAATTCTTACTGGTGAAGCTTAATCTGAGAGCTCTAGCTTTATAGTGCATTTTCATAAATAATACATTCTTCTTAATACCATATACCTGATGATTCAGTTGTCGCGATGAAGATGATGTGRCTTATGAAMAGGTGGAGCTAGATGTACTAAAGAATCAGTTAATTGAGARTGACCACCAAGTGTAACAAATTACAATAAAAACCTGTCAATAAACTTCAATGAACTGTTTGAGCGTTAAATCTTCTGAATTCCATACAGCATTGCCAMCCAATGTCTCGAAACAACACTYCATATTAATGCAAATCGTGTTGTTGTTTTTTTATATACTTTTCTAATAACTGAAATTTTTCACACACTTTGTGTTATAATGCATCCATTATAATAACATATATACATGGACGGACTAGTGAAGTTTAAGATTAACCATAAGAATGAATGCCTTCAGCCAGTCAAGCATCGTGATGCTTCACATAATCAGTCTTGATATATCACATCCCTCAGATTAGAACGTCTTGTTATCGGCAGACGTATATGCAAGTGAAAATGGCTGATTTGTTTCACATTGTGCTATAACCATTATAATAACATATTCATGCCAAGTGTATTTATGTTTAAGATGCATCATAAGAGTCACACCCAATCAGTCAGTCGAGCATCAATATATTTTTCACATAATTAGTCTATATATCACATCCCCAAGGTTAAAACGCCTTATTCTCAGACTTTCAACTTATGTAATTGAAAATGACCGAGTTATAATATGGGAAGAAAAGAAAAAGAGAGATACACGTGTATATATTGCTCAAGCTCCACCATTCATCCCCACATAAGTTCAAACGTCTTGTCCTCGAACATGTATTAAGTTTGATAAAGACCGTTGAATAATTGTAGTCTCGTAAATGTCCGATGCCAAATTGTTGGTATTGGAAAATGGGGATAGGAAGGAAAGTTTATCGCAAAATGCATATATATTGCATGACAGTGTTTTAACATGAAAATCCCTTTTC